GGGAGCCCGATGCGGGACTCGATCCTGGGACTCCAGGATCATGACCTGAGCCGAAGGCAGTCGCTTAACCAACTGAGCCACCCAGGCGCCCCTGGTGGTACCTACATTTTAATGTTAAATGAAAAAAAAGGGTCTACAATGTCAAAGAAAAATTGCAAAAGAAGACTGGAAGGAAGCACAAAAAATGTCAATAAAGTCATTTATGAGTGGCAGATTTACAGGTGAACTTAATTTTTATATTTTTCTACCCATTCTTTCGTTTACTGAGTAATAACGTTCCAGGCAATGGAATGGGGGGGCGGGGAGCAGTAGCTACAACGTAAACACTAGAATGGAGACAGACACACAAGGAACTGGGAACCCAACGGACAAGAGGGTATATATAGCTCGAAGGAATAAGCACCAACTCTGCCCAGGAGACTTGAAAATGTCTTTAAGATGGGTTGAATTTGCCAAGTGAAGGTCAGTGGGCAGGGTATTCCAGTAAAGCACAGACCGAGTTACAGCCGGAGGTACTGGGTATGTCTGCGAGACACCAAGCACCCAGATGTGGCTGGAGCGCAGAGTGCACGTCGGGATGAAGAACGAAAGGAGCTAGAGGTTGGCAGGGCCGCAATCACTCAGCGCCTTGTAAGCCGGAATAAGGTGGGTGGACCTGAGGTTAAGAAACAGAAGGCCAAAGCATTAGTGAGGCAAAAAGCTAAGTTAACCTCGACAGAGAGCCGAAAGAGGTGCGGTCTATAGGCTTCAGTGACATTGGCTGTGGACGCAGGGGCCTGGGAACGCAGAAAACATGCCCAGAGTTCGGGCCTGGAAGAACGGACACCCAAGAAAGCAAGAGAAAATTCGTTAAAGAAATATCGGAAGGAAGCTCCTTAGGCTAAACTGCCCGCGGACAAACGCAGCCCCTACCGTCGCGCCGCGGTGCCCTTGTACCCTTGCTGGCCGCCGCTACTGGATGATCTGCGAGCGATGCAGAGGCCTGCCGCAAAGGACGCCCGCAGTGCGACGCTAGCAGCGCGACAGCGAAACCCGACCTTCCCTCTGCCGTCGCGCCCGGAAACCATAGGAACCAAGCCCTTCATTCTGCGCCGGCGCAGTCGTCGGCATCAGCCTCTGAAGGTATGGAATTGTAAATAAACTGACTTCTTGACGATTCCGTTAGACGAGGCCCAGCGGTGAGTTACTGCTGTCTGCTCGCATTGTGCCTAGCACTCTCACGACAGCTCGGATTGGTGAGGGGCTTGACCCAGGCCGCAAGAGAGAAAAAGTAGTGGCTTCCCAACCTTCACCCCTGCCAGTAGTGATTAAACTCATGGGCTGTGGACCTACGCTGGGTGGGTTCAAATTCTGGTTCCGCCACTTCGGTGTGACCCTGAGAAAGTGTCTTAACCTCACTATGCCTCAGTTTTCTCAGCTTTGCGCAGTGGCAGTATCGTACCGATGAGGTTTATCAGTTTTCTCATCTTAAGTACCTACAGCGTAGGGTTGCTTTGGGGATTAAATGAGATAAATGTAAAACACCGAGGCGGTTCCTGGCGCATGGAAACCTCTCCAAGGCAATCACAGTTCTTTGATATCTCAGCTTCTAAAGTTTGCAGATTCGAGAAAGTCAACAGAGACCATGCCCCTCCTCTGTTTGAGAACATCCAGTGGCTCCCTTTGACTACAGCAGGGCCTCTGAAGTGGCGTGTGTGATACACACTGGGTGTGAGGGAAGAAAATCCTCAAATACTTACATTTTTTATCTAATCTTTTTAAATTTCTATTTTTAAATATTTTTTTTATTAAGTAAACTCTGTACCCAACATAGGACTCGAACTCAAGACCCTGAGATCAAGAGTTGGAATGCTCCAGCTACTGAGGCAGCCAGGTGCCCCTTTAATTTCTATTTCCTGGTGTAATGTTTATGAAGTATGTAACATTACTGCAGTTGTACATATAAGTAACTTATAAAAAATACTTATTTGGGGTTTGGGCTGAAAATTTATTCTCCTTTTAAATGATGTACTCTGGGGTGCCTGGGTGGCTCAGTCGTTAAGCGTCTGCCTTCTGCTCAGGTCATGATCCCAGGGTCCTGGGATGGAGCCCCACATCAGGCTCCCTGCTCAGCGGGAAGCCTGCTTCTCCCTCTCCCACTCCCCCTGCTTGTGTTCCCTCTCTTGCTGTGTCTCTCTGTCAAATAAATAAATAAAATCTTAAAAAAAAAAAAATGATGTACTCTCAGAAACGTTTAGAAAAGTCAAGTCTTCCAACCTTCCCAGCCTCATTGTCCAAAATCCTCTGCCTAATCTTCCCCATCCAAGAGCTTGCTGTTCCATTGTATTCTTGGAAAAGTCCTGCCAGCCAGTCTCTGATTCTTTCCCCCTTTCCCCTAGAAGGACACTATTTCAACCCCATCTCCATTTCTGTGTGTCAAATTCTTCCTCTGCTTTAGGACTTTTGCAAAGTTTCCCCCCAGAATGGGTGAACTACCTCCAAGCCCTAGGATCACCAACTCTGGAGAGAATCCCTAAGGTCCCATAGCTTAACTGGTTTCTTTTAAGATTTCCAATTCTCCCTCTGCTCCCCCCAGCTCATCAGATATATACCTCCCAGCTGGGATCAGAGTTTCAGTTCAGCTAGAATTTCCTGAACACCTAATGCATGTCCAGCAGAGTACTGGAAGATTATGGAATTGGTAATTCATGGCTCTTGCCCACAAGATAGTAGAGGTAGCAAGATATTGATTGCTAACTCCCTTCCCACCTTCCACTTTCTTAAGTTGGTGATATCATCTTCCCAGTCGTTCAGGCAGGAAACTATGAAGTTGTATTTTGCCCTTTCGTCATCTTTCATCCAGTCTTTAATTACTGGCCAAGTTCTCTCAAATATTCCTTCAACAGGTTTCTAATTCATTTCTTCCCTTTGGCCTCTCAGCTCCTCACTTTAATCTGTTTTTCACTGAATAATGTTTCTAAAATACTAAATCTCATTGTATCACTCCTCAGATACCAGGCAGGATAGGTTAGTACAAAGATGGGTGACTCAAATGCCTCCAAGGCCAAACAGAGTTCACTATAAGGAAATAAAAACAAGCACCATAATAAATGGCAGCTGGTACTTGGCATCAGTTTCACTGATGGAAGGAGTCGTGTGGAATGTGACAAACTGGAGAGGGTATGTCCTATCTGAAGGCGGTGGCAGCTACTCAGCTGCATCCTATAGCTGTTGAGAAAATCAGAGCCCCCAAATTGTCAAATCTCCTAAAGTTTTTCAAGAGAAGCCAGAAATCTTTTGTTATTATTTAAATGTGAAACCTACCACTTTTAAAATGCAGGGCAACTAATTTTTTTTTCAAGTGCTGGCCAAACAAAACCCACATTGGAAATGTATTTTGATGTGCCAGATTTCAGCCCTTGGATAGAGGGAAATCTGAAGATAGGGAAAGCAATTTATTCCGATGGCTTTTTACATCCAGCCTTGCTCCCATCTTACCCATTCTCCTTATTGCTGACAGTTGCTTTTCTTTTTTTTTTAAAGATTTTATTTATTTATTTAACAGAGAGAGATACAGCAAGAGAGGGAACACAAGCAGGGGGAGTGGGAGAGGGAGAAGCAGGCTCCCCGCAGAGCAGGGAGCCTGATGTGGGACTCGATCCCAGGACCCTGGGATCATGATCTGAGCCGAAGGCAGACGCTTAACCGACTGAGCCACCCAGGCGCCCGACAGTTGCTTTTCTTAAAACTCAAAACTGATCATTCAAAAAACACTTCCTAAAAAACAAACAAACAAACAAACAAAAAAACAGCTTCCTGAGCTCTTACCATATGCCATGGCCCTTGTTGAGCTCTTTGGACTAGGACACTGAATGGTGTAGCAAGTGATAAAACAGAAATATGAACAAAAACAAGGGAGAACACAAGGAGGGGGTTATACTGCTTGGGTTGTGTGTCAGGTGTCGGTGTATTCAAGAAAAGTTTCAAATTACTTGGTTTGGCCTTCAAGACCCCTCATGATCTGATTTCTTCCCATTTCTAAATCCTCGGATATAATTGCTTACTCAGCCTCCTCATGTTCTTGGCCATCAAAGAATTGATCTTCCAAACTTTGTAGGCATAGTTTCTTCTGCCTGGAATGGTCCCAACCCGCTCGTTGCCACCTTCCTACTGTCTCCCAGGCGAATGCCTAATCCATCCAGATTATTTATATGGAGCGTTTTCTGGTGAAAGCTTCCCAAATTCCTCAGGCATTCACTAGGCCTTTCTTGAAGTCCCGCCAGCCTTGTAGACTTCTATTATAGATGCTGTTCACTACTGACATGCCGGCCCCCTGCACTGCACCGTGCGGACAGCCCCGTGCCCGCATGGTGTGGGAGGATGTTGGGTGACGGGTCTTCCTCTACGTCAAATATTGGAAAACTACAACTCCCAGAACTCCCACGCCAGAACTGAGTCTGCGCCGTTGCTATAGTGAGCACGCGCGCCCTCTTAGATTCTTGCGGCTTACGTTACAAGTGACGTGGTTGCCGACCTTAGGGGTAGGATGCCTCTGCCTTGTTACGCCTTTCGTTTACCTTCCCTTTACCTTGCTCTTGCAGATTCTCTGCTTCGGGGAAGTGTGGTTTTACAACGACCTCGGAGAACCTTAGGCGCAGAAGCAAGCCCGACTTGCCATGTTCTTCCATTTTGTGTTGGGGAAGCCGAGGCGCAGAAACCGAGTGGAATTCGACTAGGCGTCCTACGCGATTTGTTCTAAGCAAGCAGAGCCTTGCTCCCGGCTTCAGCTTCAGCGCGTGAGGATGGCCTAGTGACCTAATCCAAGCCCCCCAATCCCACCCCCTTGAAAACTAGCCTCCGCCTCTGTGTGAGCACAGAGGTCTCGGGCCTTCTAGAAACCTCCTTGGTCTTCATTCACGGGACTTCTGTCCTTGACCTGAAGGATTCCCTCATGTTTACACACCTTACTCAGTTACAACCCGAGAAAAGCTTTAACACTACCCTTCGGCAGATAGGCCGTCTTTACAGTTTAGCACATGGGGAACTTTTCAGGCCTGTATCATACCACTGGTAGAGTTGAGCAAACAACTGGGTAGCCTGAGGGTCCTAGCACATTTGGGGAAGACAGTTTGGAAACTTACCCCTGCCCTCACCTCCAAGCCCCCAGCTATAGGATAGATAGAAAAAACCCAATAAGCAAAGTAATCTTAAAGAGATAGTAACGGGGGCCAAGGCCAAGGCGCCTGGCTGGCTCAGTCGGTGGAGCATGTGAATCTTTTTTTTTTTAAGATTTTATTTATTTGACAGAGAGACAGCGAGAGAGGGAACACAAGCAGGGGGAGTGGGAGAGGGAGAAGCAGGCTTCCCGCTGAGCAGGGAGCCTGATGCGGGACTTGATCCCAGGACTCAATCCCAGGACTCTGGGATCATGACCTGAGCCGAAGGCAGACGCTTAACGACTGAGCCACCCAGGTGCCCCAAGGAGCATGTGATTCTTGATGGGGGTCCTGAGTTCGATCCCCATGTTGGATATAGAGATTACTATAAAATTTTTTTTAAAAAAATGGGTGCAAATGCCTGGAATATACTGGAAGCCGGAGTGATCGTTTAAACTAGAAAAGAATGTGCCGACCAAGTTGGAGAAGATACCAAGTTGAAATGCAACAGGACCAGGAACTAAAGAAGCATAAGTGGGAACCTGTGCCAGGTTCATGGTGGTAGGGGTAACTTGATGCTGGTAAACATTCCATCCCTAGAATTAACTCCCCTCATTCTGACTTTAATTAGGTTTCTGAAGTGGTATGATTATATGAAGAAAACACACTGTTAAGGCCAATGGGGTAGTCTACTGCACCTGACCTATTTCTCATTCATAAATTTACGCACTGGAGGGGTGCCTGGCTGGTTCAGTAGAGCATGGGACTCTTAATCTCAGGGTCATGAGTTCAAGCCCCTCGTTGGGCATAGAGCCTACTTAAAATTGAAAAAAATAACACACTGGTTTTATGGACCGATATAGCTGTATTAGTGATTCAGCCTTCCTG